GGCAGCATAGCCCACGCCAAAGTCACGAGTATCGAGTCCGTCCCGAGCCCCGTCAAAGTGACATGGCCAGTGGTTCCAGAGGGCGTGGTTCCATGAGGTGTAAAATATAGGAGTGACAATGCCGCTGGCGACATCACATGGCAGCGCACACTCACTTTCACTTATCCTGCGTAGCTGGAAAAAAGCGGAAACAGAAGCGAAAAATAATAATCATAAAATTGCGAATGAAATTCACAAATAAATACAAATCGAAGCATACACACATACATATATATGTACATATGTAAGTACATTTTGCTCGTATATATTCATATGGTTGATGGAGGGGTGTTTATGCGAGAGCCCAAAATTCGAACATAAAGAATTTGCAATTTGAAAGGGATTTACGGTGCCTCGTAAAACAAACACAATAAAAGATCAAACGACATGACAGGCTAAGACCCCTTACTGCCAACATTGTCCCGGCCTGCGGCTGGAGCAAAATGTCAAAAGGGCTGTCATATAGTGGGTCGAAGGATGGGTCCTAAAAATGTGCGACATGATGGCAAAAACAAGAAGAAACGGGAAGGAAGCTTCAGGGGCCGAAGCTCAGGATACCCTTGACCAGTACACAACTTTGGCAATATTTTTTTAGGATTAGTTATGTTAGAAATTTTATATTTTTAAATTAAACAAACAAAATATGTATTGTTTTTATTTTTAGTTTTAACCTGGTTTCTTGAATGTAATTTTCTTGGCAAAGATTTGCGCTGCTAGCTATAAAACTGTAGGACTCTTCTGTTCATACGAAAAATCAGTATACCCTTCGCCCGTCTAGAACAACAGACGAGGGCCAAAGACGACAAAATAAAAGTAAAGCAAAAATTTGGTGTGACAACTTTGCAGGCAGCCAGATCGAGATGGATATGACAAGGCCAACGGAAATGTCAGCTCACGCACTCCCTCACACATGCACACACACACATACTCACGCAAGTTGGCGAATTGTTTTTCCTTGGCTTGTTGTTGTCGCTTCTGTTGGTTGACGTTTTAATCGAATCAATCCGAAGGCAGAGCGTGCCGAAAAAAAAAAGAAAAAGTTATAAACTTGTTGGCAGTTGGATTGAGAGTTGATGTGGTTGTGGTTTTGGGTGTTTCGGCGTGGTAAATACTCGTACGTATGCATACTCATGGGGAAGCTGCTGTTTTCCCTATTTCCTTCTAACAAGCTAATTTACGCAACAATATAAAAGTTGTTTGCTTGTTTTCTCCATTTCGGCAGTCAGGTTCCATTTTGGCAGGCATCCGTTGCAAAATGAAATGATTTTCGGCTCCCTGGGTTGCAAAGCCAATGAGTAAATGAAAATTACGTCCATTCGATTGGCCTGTCCGATGGCTCTGGCCAACTATGATTTGATTCCTTCATCCTACACATGCACATATGACTCGATATTGTTATTAGGCCAAAAGAGAAGCTGCCTAAATAAAATTGGATATCTACCAACAACAGCTAAAACAGGAAGCGCACTTCTCTGCGTATATGCAGGCAATCTCCGATTGAATTTGTGCAGGGCAGAAATGGTAGCAGGGGAACAGAATGCCATTAGTCGAATTGATACATCCCACATTGAATTTTAATTGAAAATCCATTGAATTCAATTCTGAATGCCTGCCTGCCTCGTAAACAAATGTCAACCAGACATTGATGATGAAACCCATTCATACAGGTTCATACGACTGCTGTCTGGGCTGGGGGGATTTAATTTGTGATTTAATAAGCATGGCTGCAATTATGCAAAATAAATAAATTAAAAATAAGTTGATGCAACTTCTGTGCGCTACCTGAATCATTGGGGAGTCATCGTCATCGTTGTCAAGGCATCATTGCACATGAGTGAGATGAGTGGCACGCCCGAGTAAACAAACTACAGACATAATCCAATTAATGTCGAATTTAAATGCTTGAGACTATATGGCATACACTGACAGGCACTGGGATCAGGAGCAGCATTAGTTCAGCTCGATTCCTGGCCAACCTGGCGCCTGCCAGCAGCCAGCAAGAACGATTCACATTTCAGCTGGATGCCACAACCGCAAAGGGGTACAAGTTACTCATGGGAACGTGGTGCAAAAAGGAAACTTTTTCTGCGACGTAGATAGTTTTTCCCCAACAGCTCTCGGGTGTGTGCCTGTGTGGGCGTATCAGCAGGCATATATACTGTACTCTGCTGTATGTAGCACGTACATAGATAGCAGCTGAGTGGCCTCCTACGAGTACTATATAGTATGATTGTGTGTGTGTGTGTGTGTACGTAATGCGTCATGTTCGAGTTTATCGCTCGAGCCGAGCCCCAAAATTGCCATACCGGGGCAGCACACAGATGACGAGACGTGAACGTGGAAGAGACGGGCGCGCCGGGCTGTGGGCAGCTCCAGGATCAACTGTGGCCAATGTTGGCGGCAATGTCTCCCACTTTGACAAATAAGCGGGGGCCGGACAGATGGCAGAAGTCAGGAGTGTGGCTGTGGGTGTGGGTGTGGAAGCTGAGCATGTGCCAATATGCTGCCGGTAATGGAACCGCAAATTGAACCAGTCTAGAGCAAAGGCGGAAGCTGTCCCGCCTGCCAATTGCAACTAGAGACAAATTCAAGAATTCAAGAAATATGATTTCGATAGACTGCATTGTGGGGCAGATGCGGCCCATGCGGCTGCCGATGCTAGTACTGCCATGAAACACATTTTATGCATTCGAATCTAATTAGATTTCCATGCCATTCCATTCGATTTGAACGATTAAATGATGGGACGAATGAATGCACATAAACCAACACATGTGCCGTGGGGGGTAGCATTTGTTGGGGCCAATTGGAAATCAATTGCCACTCATTTCAATTTGAGCAGAAACTAAGTGGCGGAAAAAGGCCAACGGAGCGTGATAATGCACTGGGGTCGAACGCGTCCGCCGACATTCACAATTCACACGCGATGCTGTCAGTCGGCTGGCACTATGAATCCTTTTGGATCTGCTTGGGCCAGAGATGGAGATGGATAGATGGCTGCCTAAGGCTTTCACCTGCCTCAAAGGGCTTGAGTTCAGTCAAGCCACAGAGAAGGACAAACCGCAGAAGGTGGGAAGGCAATTGTCCTTTGGCTGCTTTGTATTTGTGCCCGCCACTCGACTTTGCCTGCGACTGTTGCTGCTGCCACTTATCTGGCTCTGGCCCTTGCTGTTGTCCTGGCAACAAGATTTATGCAAAACGTATTTATTTGTTGTTGTCCCGGGCAAAAGCTACAGAAATCTCGACTGGAACCCCTTGGCCAATTGTTGACTTAGTGGTTGCTGGCCAGTATTACGACAGCTGCTTTGCAACTTTAATCACTGGAATGCTCTCCCTGCTCATCAAATTAAATGCCAGTAAAAGCAGCTGTCGGGGCTGAGAGCTTGGTCAAAACTAAATAAAAAGTGGGCGGCGGTCAAGCTGGAACAAGCTGTAAATGTGCTAAAAGGCAAGATGAATTGCCGGTTATTATTACCAACTTCATTTGTTATGCACTCAAATGGGCGGCTAACTGGGCCACGAGCCAAGGGTCCGTTGAATGAGGTCAATCCTCAAGATTCAGAAAATTCACGAGAATTTTCACCCATTAAATTCACCTTGTGCTCCGGGGTGCAAATGTATATTAATTATTAATGGCATTCTTATTCTGGGAATCCATTAATCATAATTATAATTTATGCATGCTTCTGCCGTACCTTTATTTTTTTTTGCAGTTTCATTTCTGCACTTTTATCCAACAATTGTCACTGGCTCACGGCGGCTTTTGGCCTCCATGTAGCTCATTAGCATTCGCACGGATAATAGAAATTTAAGTTGTAAAATCAATAAAGTGCCACATTAATTATTACAGCAACAGCAACAGAAAACAAAAAACAATGCAATCACGCGACGTTAATAAATCCCCAGGGTTATATTCAAATCTGCGGATAATTAATGTGTAAAATCGAAATGGCAGTCGGCCATTATGCAGATTAATATAGCAGGGCATAGCAGATTACCATTCCTAGGGGCCCGGGGCATAGAAATTAATTCATAATTATCTGAATAAGCTGCAGCGGTAAGACACCTCACGGTACATATGTATGCAGATGTGGATCTTTACTTGAGTGTTACATTTTCAATGTGGCAATAACATATTAATATATACTGGAATCATCGGTTATTATAAATTGGTCTGCTCCGTTTTATTCCGGCAAATGATTTATTTAGTCATGGGAGAACTACTGTGCAAAACTTATTAATAGCTTTGCATCACAGAGATTAGTCGACTTATCCCAATGAAAAATACTTTGCCACTGGTATATAAAAATAATCTATTGAAAGTTTATTCAGAATACATATATTAAATACATTTTTTGTATACTATTTTCATTGTAAATTTCTAAGTATCTTCAAAGCTCTTTCTTATTATTATTTTTTTAAATTTATGTTTTGATAATTTTGTTTCAGATAATGATTTTATTTTAGTCGGTAACACTAACTTTTACTTACCGAATTCGTTGTCAAAGAGTATCCTCAATTTGTTCTTCTCTTATTGTTTTTTAAATCAGTATCATAATTGTATTTATGCTACAGTAGTTTGACAAATGAATTTTAAGTGTTTCCTGCTGACTTTGCCAAATCAAAATGTGCATAATTTGTATTTTGCTATTTGCATTTACATTTAAATTTACATTTGTCAAGATGGAGCGAGGCACTTGTCCGCCGTAATACGAATAGTGGCAGCTAACTGGTCTATAATTGTGCTGTTTACATTTCGTATTTATTATTTGATTTCGGGCCCATACTCATTTCAGCCTTTTGACCGCCGGAAATGGTAAATTGTAAATATAGTTTTCGTGTCAGAGTTTACATTATTTTCCTTTGGCAATTATAAAGCTGTTCGCTTCAATTTCAATAATTAATTGAACAAATTTCCCTCGCTCTCTCTCACTCTCTCTGTTTCGTTCTTTCTGTTGCAGTTAAACAGTCGACATCCTCTTGTATCTGGATTTCATTTGTGCTCCAACCGATGACAACATGCTGAAACCGTTGGCCGTGATTATTGGCATTTTTTATTTAGGTGAGTCGCTTTTCCCCCACGATTTTCCTATCCCGATCAACCGGACTGTGTGTATTATTAATTACACTCGTTGAATTGAATCTGGACATGCGAAATATGCGAGCGGACGAGGGTTAATTAATCACATTTGCTGGTAAACGATTTGTGTTCAAAATGTTTTTGCTCATTAAGTCGAGATTCAATTTGGTTCTGTTCGGGTCGATTCGATTCGATCCGATCCGATCCGATTTGATTACCGTTTGCATACCTTTGCAAATGCATATTTAATGGTATTTAATTCTTTGATGCTCACGAATCTAATGAACTTATTCACTTGCTATTTGACAACGAACGGAAATTAAATTATAAAAGTAGTTTCGAAAGCGTTCTGTAACAGTTTTCAGTTGACATAAAACTGTATGTACGAGCTGTTTTATTTGGACTGCTTGCTTGAACAGTGATTGAAAACTGTAGCAAGCAGTTGAGAAAGCTGCTAAGCTTTAAATCTGGTTTGTGGAGAAATGAAAGCTCTCAACTTTGAAAAAGCTTCAAAATGAACTTTTAGTACAATAAAGTTGTAATTTTAGTACATTTTTCTTAGTAATTTTCGTACTTATTAGCACATGTAAACTTTATAAATTTTAACATAGATCTAAAAAATAGTATGCTTAGTGGAGAAATGAACCCATAAAATGTACGAAAATTCTGTAAATTACGTGTGGAGCAGTCTTAAGTTGTACCAGTCGCCATCTTTTGGCTACAGTTGGAATGATGGGAAATATTTAATTTCCCATTTGCTACCTTAAGGTTTGAAAACCTTTTACACCATAACTTTAATCAAACTTCAATCGCCAGACGCTTCTCCACCGTCCCTTGCCATTAGAGAGCCACAAAAGGCAAGGCAGAAAACCAACACATAACAGCGAACTATAATTATGTTTATCTTAATTATATTGCGTGACGTAAGTTTCTTATTAACCGGCAACAAAGTCAGCAACAATTTACTATGTTTATGGGTGGCGGGGTCGTAGCTAACCCCTAAGGAATTATTATTACATGCAGGTGGCTCGGCCACCAGTCCACCCACACCGCCTGTAGTCGCGTGAGCAATCACAGCACGACTCGTCCAAATGACCAGAAAGCCAGAAAGTGCTCGAGTGGTCACCACCAAGTGGCGCCTTTGTTTGCCTCCTCCCCGGGCTCCTCCTCCCCTTCCTCAGCTTTATTTGCATATAAAACGTATGATGAACAATGTGAGAGAGCGGAGAAGGTGGAGCAGCACGCGTCTCTAATGCGCCATGAGGCAGCCACAACAATTGCTGCCTTCCACAGCCTTTTGTTCTTGATTTCTTGCGCCTTGCAGCGCCGAAAAGTATGCTAAGAAATTAAGCACATTGGTCATTTTCATTTGCGTGCCGTGGGGCTGTTTTGGTCGCTGCTGGTCGCCCACCCGGCTGGCGTATGCGCAATGCAAAATAAAAGCTTGAAGTTTCTGGCCAAAGGCGGACGACACACGCAAAAAATAAAAATGCACGTCATTACCTTGATTTGTTGCTGCGCTCCGCTCCACGTCACTCCACTCCCGAGGCGGGTCGGGGCTGGGCGGGATTTGTGCCACCAGTCCCACCCATTCTTTTAGTGGATTACATAAGCCATGCAAAATTTCCAAGTGGAAGTCAAGTGCTTAGTTGGCAATCAACTTTAGCTGGCCGGACTCATTTATGCTAATCAAAAGTTGCGCGAAAATCAATTTCTCTTTTAGGGCCGCTCGTCGATAGTTCGTTTAAGTGTCCTGGGCGCATTCAATGCTGCCGATAAATCAAAATAATTAAGTCGCTTTAAATTGACTGAGTCGAAGTTGAGGCCATAAAGTGACTGGCATTAACCAAACTCCCAAGTGGGGCTAATAAGCTTGAGACAGCGCTAATTTTACCCTCATTAAACAAACTGACATGCCGGGACCAGGACAGGCCAGGACAGCCCAGACCAGACCAGGCCTTGCCAGAACAGACGCCTGCTGGCGGCCCCAGCTTGGGGGCAGAATTCAGTCGAGGGACGTAGCTCGGTTCCGGTCCTGGGCCCGTCAGGACGATGCCTGCTAACGTTTTAGAGAGCTCAATAAACTCAAAGGACTGCCCGACTCAACTGAGTTTGTCTCAGCGCGGGCCCTGGCCCTGGCCCTAACCCTATCCCCCCCACGACTGACGGCAAGCGTCGCCATTTTGGCAGTCATTAACGGCAAACTGCTTCATCATTTAATAACCCAAAAGTGAGCTGGTTAAATGCCGAGCGATGCCTGCTCCGTACCCCAAAATACTCCCTCTACATGCACACAGATCCCACCAACATGTACGCACACAGACAACACCATGGTAGGCAAGGGAAAAACAAGCAACCCACAAAAAAGAAGAACAGAAAAGAAAAGAAACCGGAATGGCACAGAACATGCCACACTTATTTTTATAGATTTCATTTTAACACCGAAAAAGGCAAACGCATGGAAACTTAACCGATGGCAGCAGGCCCTACTCCTGCTCCCCTGCTCTGCCGCCCCGGATTGTACTCCTTCTGACTTTTGGCTGGCTTTCCCTTGGCAGACACGACTACATAAAATTGGCAAGGCGTCAAAACAGGCAAGAAAAAAAGGGTTCATTATGGCAATTTGCTTAAACTCGTGAGCCCTCCTTTTGGTTAGGGATGTTCGGGTCTATAGGAACTTCTACTTTGTGGCTTTTTTTTTTGTTAGCCGTGTATCTGTTCTGGGCCCTTAAAGTCTACAGTGCGTTGGGGGGACTGACGCGGTACTGATCTCACTCCCCGTTCGCAGCACTTGGCGTGTCGGGATATTTCATAAAATATAATGAAAAGCAAGATTTTCTTTCCTTTAAAACGTATTTAATTGTTAATTCCTTTTAACTTTTGTTCCCTAGACGCGGCAAAGTTCACTGCACTCCTTTGCCCTGGAGTAGTTCTTCGTGGAGTAGTTTTTCCAATATCCTGGGAGTGTGTGGACACAGTGTCGCTTTGTTTGGACTTTTCATCGGGGCTGACTGGCCATAGCCGGCTGGATGTCATGCCAGAAGTATTTTTTATTGCCGCTGACTTGGACTTATAACAGGAGTCCAGTGCTTGCTTTGCAAAATTTTTAATTGAACTTCGATGGCTGGCGACCAGCCACAGGCGGCACGCAACTGTCGGCCAAGTCTAGGCCTCAATTGGCAGCTGTAAAGTATTCGAGAAACCACTTAAAAGCCACATGAGAAACGCAAACAGGCCACGCAAAAACAGGCCGAGCGAGCACCCACAACAGCAAGCAGCACCCAGCCAGGTCTAGCCCAGTCCAGTCGTCCAGTCGACCAGTCGGCCAGTCGTAGTCGTCGTTTTGGGAGTTGTCGTCGCTGTGGCCGGAAGTGGCCGTCGCTGTGGCCGAAGTGCCACAGAAAGAGCAGGCGGAGTGGCGTGTTGAGTTTTCATTTTTCGTGCGTGCGCCTCGGGGACACTCGGACTCTGACCAATGCTTAATTATATTTGCGTGTGCATGACCAATTCCTGGCTGTGTCGAGCGAAATCCTTGAGGTCTACCTCTCGGTTTAAAGCCATTTAAAAGGATGTTAGGAGGAGCCTTACCATCAACGGGTGACAAGTGACATGTGTAGGCGTTGCTTTCGATCTCTGCACTCGCCGTGTCCTTGGCTCCTCCATTGTTGACTTTATTGTCAGCAATATGATTTGTCACTTCACGGGACACCCCAGGCAGGCAATGGGAGGAGTAGGAGGGCGGGGCTGGGCAAATGGCCTGACAGATGAGTGTCTGCAAGCGGGAGTCAACCTACCAGCGTACATGGCATGTCGGCTTTTGTGGTTTCACCTCATGGCCGGTGCCTTGATCGATTACCAAACACGATGGGCTTCTCTCCCACAGCCGCCCCCCCACAAAGAGGCAGCCGCACCACAGTGGGCGGCCTTAATGGGTAATAAGTAGATTGCGTGATTGTTCCCAGAGCTCGTCACATTTTGCAGTGATTGCTCACTTTTCGACACTTTCGACCGTTTGCAAGCAGGGAGGAGAGCAGGAGCAGAACCAAAGAGGATCAACTCTTGGACCTGAAGTGGGCGTCCATTAATCAATTCGGACAAGAGATGTGGCCCATTGTAGCGGGCGACTTTGGATCTGGATGGGCGTGTTTTGTTTTGTTTTGGGTTGTTTTGTTTTGTTTCGTTTCGTTTCGGCGAACAGTCGTTTGCATTTTCTATTATTATGAAGACATTTCGTGTCGATGGCAGCGCACAAACGCAGTGGCGTATGTTTAATTTTTTTGTTTAGTTCTGTTTTAGTTTTTCCCTCTGTGTTTGCCAAGTAATTAGTGGCATAACGCGAAAGTTTTAGACGGGGGGTTAAATCGCTATGGAAATGCCTTGGCATTTGATTGGATTGGGGGGCGCCTCCTCTGCCAGACTAGCAAAAGTGCCGCTTAATTTGTATTCAAATTAAGGTCAAAGGGCACACACATTCCATTTGCGTCTTGGAAAAGAGAATTTATTCCTTCAATGGAATTTAATCAGTGGTACACAACTGGTAAAATTTACACATTTATAGCTGCCATGACTCTGGCATGGCGAGTATCCCTTTGAATGCGAGTATCCCTTGGATTCGATCTAAATTGTTTTATGCGTTCCTCTGCCTGTGCTGAGAATGTCACGGGGGCTGGCATTGCCCCAGTCGAATATGTTAGGCAGATAAAACCCGATTTGGTGCCCTTTTTTATTTCCATTATGGGCGTATTGGGTTTTTTTTTAAATTTATCTTCGGGGCCAAACATTCTTTGGTGGTAATTATTTCCCGCTTGAATTTACAATTGCTTTGCCATAAATTTAAGATCCGTTTGATGCCGAGTGGGTGGGGGTGTGGGTGGGTGTGGGGCATGGGTATTTTGGCCAACTTGTTTTGCATGAAAAAGTGTCAACAGCAAGCGGCGGGTCCTGCCGCAGGCTGTGACACCAAACCTGACAACACTAATGAA